CTCCTTTCTTTGTGATGTCTTTATCTGCCTTTGGAGTTAAGGAAATGCTGGCCTCATAAAGAGAGACTGGAAGTCTTCCTTCCTCTTGAATTTTTTGGAATTGTTTGAGGAGGATAGGTGTTAATTCTTCTTTGAATGTTTGATAAATTTCCCCTGTGGAGCAATTTGGTGAAGAATTTTTGTTTGGAGGTTTTTTCTTTTATTACTTCTTCAGTTTTATTAGTTGTTATTGGTTTATTCAGGTTTTATAATTTTTTCTTATTTTGTTTTAGAATACTGTATATTTCTAGGAATTTGTATACTTCACCCTGGTTGTCCAATTTGTCCAAAATATTTTCTTACAATCTTTTGTATTTCTGTGATGCCAATTGATACTTCTCTTTCATTTCTAATATTATTTATTTGGGTCATCTCTCTTTGTTTCTTGATTTATCTAGTTCACCAATCTTATCTTTTTAAAGAACCAGTTCTTGGTTTTATTTATCTATTGTATTGTTTTTAAGTTCATTTATCTATTGTATTGTTTTTTAAGGTCTATTTCATTTATTTCTGCCCTGATCTTTATTATTTCCTTCCTTCTACTTACTCTGGGCTTTTCCTGTTGTTCTTTTCTATGCTGTGTGTGTGTGTGTGTGTGTGTGTGGGGAGGTGTGTGTGTTGAGGTAGATTGTTTACTTGATATTTTTCTTATTTCCTTTATTTTTCTTTTCTTTCAGTCTTTAATTTCTTTATTGGTTAAGGTATTACATATGTGACTTCATCCCCCTATAAACCCCCACTCCCCCCTACTCATGCCCTCACCCCAGTGTTGTCTGTGTCCATTGGTTGGGCTTATATGCGTGCATACAAGTCCTTTGGTTGATCTCTCACCCTTACCACCACCCACCCTACTTTCCCTATGAGGTTTGACAGTCTGATTGCTGCTTCTCTGTCTCTGGACCTGTCCCTGTTAATCAGCCTATTGTTCACTATATTCCACAAATGAGTGAGATTATGTGGTATTTATCCCTCCTTGACTGGCTTATTTCACTTAGCATAATGCTCTCCAGTTCAATCCATGCTGCTGCAAATGGTAAGAATTCCTTCTTTTTTACTGCAGTGTAGTATTCCATTGTGTAGATGTACCACAGTTTTCTAATCCATTCATCTACAGATGGGCACTTAGGCTGTTTCCAGATCTTAGCTATGGTGAATTGTGCTATGAACAGAGGGATGCATATATCCTTTCTGATTGGTGTTTCTAGCTTCTTGGGATATATTCCTAGAAGTGGGATCAATGGGTCAAATGGGAGTTCCATTTTTAGTCTTCTGAGGTAGCTCCATACTGTTCTCCACAGTGGCTGCACAAGTCTGCATTCCACCAGCAGTGCAAAAGGGTTTCTTTTTCTCCACATCCTCTCCAACACTTGTTGTTTGTTGATTTGTTGATGATAGCCATTCTGACAGGTGTGAGATGATACCACATTGTTGTTTTGATTTGCATCTCTTGTATAATTAGTGACTTTGAGCATGTTTTCATATGTCTTTCAGCCTTCTAATTGTCCTCTGTCGAAAAGTGTCTATTTAGGTCCGTTGTCCATTTTTTGACTGGATTGTTTATCTTCCTTTTGTTCAGTTGCATGAGTTCCCTGTAAATGTTGGAGATTAAACCCTTATCGGTGATAACATTAGTAAATATGTCCTCCCATGCAGTGGGCTTTCTTGCTGTTTTGTTGATGGTTTCCTTTGCTGTGCAGAAGCTTTTTATTTTGATGTTGTCCCATTTGTTTATTTTCTCTTTAGTTTCCATTGTCCTAGGAGCAGTATCAGTGAAGAAATTCCTTCGGTATATGTCTACAAACAATAAACTCCCTTGTGAAGCCCTCTGACACCGGGCTTTTGTTTGGATTTTGCTGCCTGTGGATTCCTCTAGTATTTTTATGGTTTCCCATCTTATGTTTAAGTCCTTTATCCATTTTGAGTTTATATTTGTGTATGGTGTAAGTTGGTGGTCTAGTTTCATCTTTTTGCATGTATCTATCCCATTTTCCCAATACCATTTATTGAAGAGACTGTCTTGACTCCATTGTATGCTCTTGCCTCCTTTGTTGAATATTAATTTAGCATAGTGGTTTGGGTCGATTTCTGGGTTGTCTATTCTATTCCATTGATCTATATGTCTGTTCTTGTGCCAGTACCAAGCTGTTTTGAGAACAGTGGCTTTGTAATACAGCTTGATATCTGGTATTGAGATCCTACCTACTTTGTTCTTCTTTCTCGGGATTGCTGCAGCTATTCGTGGTCTTTTTTTTAATTCCAGATGAATTTTTGGAACATTCATTCTAGATCTGTGAAATATGCCATTGGTATTTTAATGGGGATTGGATTGAATCTGTAGATTGCTTGGGGTAGTATGGACATTTTGATGATGTTGATTCTACCAATCCATGAACACGGTATGTTCTTCCATCTGTTTATATCTTCCTCTATCTCTTTTTTCAGTGTCCTGTAGTTTTTCGCATATAGGTCTTTTACCTCCTTAGGTACGTTTATTCCTAGGTATCTTAATTTTTTTGGTGTGATGGTAATTAGGATTGCTTTTTTAGTTTCTTTTTCTGTAAGTTCACTATTGGTGTAACGAAATGCCATAGATTTCTTGGCATTAATTTTGTATCCTGCTACATTGCTGAATTCATTTAATAATCCTAATAGATTGTGAGATACAAGAATAATGAAATTAGGCCCATCAATAACCACTTATTAGATGCTAATTGTTTAAGTGAAAGAAGTGTCTAACATCTCTCAAATCAAAAGCTAGGTATGATTATGTTTTGTAATTAAGGCAGGGCAAAAGCTGAGATAAGCCTCCTCTTGTGCCAGTAAGTTAGGGTGTGAATATAAAAGAAAAATCCTTAAAGATAAATAAAGATGCTACTCTAGGGAACACATGAACAATAAGAAAAGAGATTTATTTTTGATATGGAGAAAGTTTTAGTGATTTGCATACAAGATCAAGCCAGCCACAAAATTCCTTTATGCCAAACTTAATCCAGAGCAAGGCCCCAAATCTCTTCAATACTATGAAGGCTGAAAACCTTAGCAAGCTGAAGAAAAATGTTTGAGGCTTGTAGTGATTGTTTCAGGAAGTTTTAAAAAAGAAGCCATCTCTATAAACATAAAAGTGCCAGTGCAAGCAGTAGGTGCTCATAAGAAGCTGCAGCAAATTATCCAGAAAATCTAGCTAAGTTAGTGAGTGAAGATACACAACAGATATTTATTGGTGACAAAGGAGACTTAATTTTGAAGATGCAGAAAGAACCTCCATAGCTAGAGAGGAAATGTCAGTGATTGCCAGGAGAGTTTCAAATGAGTGGCTGACCATATTCTTAGGATTTAATGCATCTGGTTAGTTTACTTTTAAGCCAATGCTCATTTGCCATTCTAAAAAACCTAGGACTCTTCAGGCCTATGTTCAATCTTTTCTGCCTGTGACCTATAATTAGAACAACAAAGCCTGGATGAGAGCATATCTGTTTACATGATGGTTTTCTGAATATTTTAGCTCACTGTTGAGAACTACCATTCAGAAAAGAAGAATCCTTTCAAATTTTGCTGCAAAATTGCCATGGCACATGGTCACCCAAGTAAGTATTCTGATGGAGATGGCCAATGAGATTAGTGGTGTTTCACACCAGCCAAAACTATGGCCATTCTGAAGCACATGGGTGAAGAGGAATAATTTTGAGTAACTTAAAGTCTTATTATATGAGAAGTGCATTCCAAAATGCCATACCTTCCATACATAGTAATTGCTCTGATGTATCTGGGAAAAGTGAGTTGTAAACATTCTGGAAAAAAACTCACCATGATATATGCTATGAGAAAAACCTGTGATTCATGGGAGAGGTCTAAATATCAATAGTAATAAGAGTTTGAAAGAAGTTAATTCAAACCTTCCTAAATGACCATGAAAAGTTCAAGGTTTCCATCAGGGAAATAACTGTGGAGGTGGTGGAAATAGCAAGAGAACTAGAATAATAAGGGGAGCCTGAAGAACTGCAGCCTAGATTTCTGCTGTGATCTCATGATAAAAGTTTAATGGAGAAGGAACACCTTCTTATGGATGATCAAATAAAGTGGTTCCTTGAGATGGAATCTACTCTTAGAAAAGATGCTGGGAATCTTGTTGGATTGACAACAAAGGATTTAGATTACAGCGGTTCTCAACCTGTGGGTCGCGACCCCTTTGGCAGTCAAACAACTCTTTCACAGGGGTCGCCTAAGACCATCCTGCATATCAGATATTTACATTACGATTCATAACAGTAGCAACATTACAGTTATGAAGTAGCAACAAAAATAATTTTATGGTTGGGTCACAACATGAGGAACTGTATTTAAAGGGCCAGAAGGTTGGGAACACTGATTTAGAACATTACCTAAACTTAGCTGAAAAAAAGGTGGCAGGTTTTGAGAGTACTACTCCAATTTTAAAAGAAGTTCTACTGTTTATAGCATTATAGCATAATGCTATAAAACACCTTAAATGCTACAGAGAACTCATCCATGAGCAGAAGAGTCAGTTGATGTGGCAAACTCTATTGTTGTCTGATTTTAAGAAATTGCCACAGCTATCTCAACCTTCAGCAACCACCAGTCTGATCTATCAGTAGGCTTCAACATTGGGGTAACACCCTCCATCAGCAAAGAGATTACAACTCACTGAAGGCTCAGATGACTATTAGCAGTTTTAGCCATAAAGTATTTTTAATTAAAGATGTGCATTGTTTTCCTTTTGTAATATTCACTCTATTGCCATGACCTGGAAGCAAACCCAAAACATCTCCAACACATGCCTGTACTTAATACATGAATTTAACTAATTGAAAGAAGATATTCATGAAAACTTTTATCCATATAATAGTAAGTAAACTCTAGGTTCTTTAAATTCCACACTTAATTCAACTTCAAAGAATATAAATAAACCTGAAATATTTTACTTTTTAAATCCTTCTTCTTACCAAAGCGTTTCATTGAGTGTGTCTTGAGTTGTTCCTTTATTATGCCATGTGCAAATGCATCTGTTGAACGTTCTGCATTAGTATCTACAAAAATAAACATAATTTAAAACACATCATATTATAATTTACATACAAGTCATTTACACAGGAATATATGTTTCCATGAGGGTTTGTTTATATTGGGTGCAACTAACATGTTTTATTACACAGAAAAGCATTATATTGAAATATGTGGATTGCAAATTCACAAAAGCTTAAGGGGCTACCAAACTGGACTGTCTTAGACAGCGGAGCCCCGCTCCTCAGCACGGACACTCCTGGGTGGCCAGCACTGGCACAGAGACCATGCCATCTTGAGAAACAGAGCTGCTTAAGACTAGGATCCTGGCCTCAGCACCACCCAGTCTGGTCTCAGATACAAACCAGGACCCTGCAGCCACTGGGGACAGAGACCTATGACCACAGCTACAGATCCACAGACACCAAGAATCCAGACATCCTGGCCACAGATTTCTGTGAGTAACAAAGCCCATCCCCCTCCCCAAAGGCTCCCGGGCAGCGCCATAGTAACTGATAGACCCGACCCTCGCACAGACAACAGAGCCCCTACAGGAATTTGAGCCTGAGACTGCAGGGACACTGGGAATCTGTTCCCCACAGCACAATCAGGTGACCAAACCCGAAGCCCATGCCACCTGACTTTGATTCTGGGCAAGCGCTCACTGAAGTCTCCCAAGCTGACCAGGACCCCGATTCTCCAGGCGGGAGGCAGCACTAAGCACCAGTGACTTGACTCTGTTTCTTATCACGTGTGCCTGGGATCCCTGATTCCCAGTGCATTCACAATAAGAGCCAGTGACTCCAATTCTTGGAGCATGTGCACACAGGGACCCTGATTCTCAGCACGAGGCTGAGAGACTGGATTCTTGGGGAACTCTGACTCCAGGCACACACTAGGGGGCTCTGATTTTCAACACACGTGGTGGGGGGGCGGTTCTGTTTCAGCGAGGTGCAGGCGGTGTCCCTGATTCTAGGTGCACACACGAGGCCACACTGATTGCTGGTAATGCTGGCTCTGGGAGAGCCTGGTTCCCACCAACCCATGACAGCCACACATCTTACGTGTCGGAGCTCTTCAGTGACACTAGGGTGGTTCGAAGCTCCCACTGCACACGGCACATGGTAATTAGTCCTGTCGTCGGGTGGCATGACTTTGTGTAGTAGTTTTAAAATGTTATGGCCAGTGTTCTGACCTGTGCTAATCCACACCCCAGCCATGTATATTTGTTTATTGTGAAATTAAACATATGATACATATTTAATTTAAATTGCACAAAGGTGTCCACATAATAAAGACAGGTAAACTAATTTGTTGAAGGACCTTTTTTTATTATTTTATTTTATTTTTTTTTATTGCTTAAAGTATTACAAAAAGTATTACATATGTCTCCTTTTTTTTCCCCCCGCCCTTGACAATCCCCTGGCCTCCCCTACCCCCCAATGTCTTATGTCCATTGGTTATGCTTATATGCATGCATACAAGTCATTTGGTTGATCTCCTACCCACCCTCCTCCTGCCCTCCCACCCTCCCTGGACTTCCTGCTGTAGTTTGACAGTCTGTCCGAGGCAGCTCTGCCTCTGTATCTATTTTTGTTCATAAGTTTATAATGGTCTTTATTATCCAGAAATGAGTGACATCATGTGGTATTTTTCCTTCATTGACTGGCTTATTTCACTTAGCATAATGCTCTCCAGTTCAATCCATGCTGTTGCAAATGGTAAGAGTTCCTTCTTTTTTATAGCAGCATAGTATTCCATCGTGTAGATGTACCACAGTTTTCTAATCCATTCATCTACAGATGGGCACTTAGGCTGTTTCCAGATCTTAGCTATGGTGAATTGTGCTGCTATGAACATAGGGGTGCATATATCCTTTCTGATTGGTGTTTCTGGTTTCCTGGGATATATTCCTAGAAGTGGGATCACAGGGTCAAATGGGAGTTCCATTTGTAGTTTTTTGAGGAAACTCCATACTGTCTTCCATAGTGGCTGCACCAGTCTGCATTCCCACCAGCAGTGCACAAGTGTTCCTTTTTCTCCACATCCTCTCCAGCACTTGTCGTTTGTTGATTTGTTGATGATAGCCAGTCTGACAGGTGTGAGATGGTACCTCATTGTTGTTTTGATTTGCATCTCTCGGATGATTAGTGACTTTGAGCATGTTTTCATATGTCTCTTGGCTTTCTGAATGTCCTCTTTTGAAAGGTGTCTATTTAGATCCTTTGCCCATTTTTTGATTGGATTGTTTATCTTCCTTTTGTTAAGTTGTATGAGTTCTCTATAAATTTTGGAGATTAGGCCCTTATCAGATATGACATTGGCAAATATGTTTTCCCACACAGTGGGTTTTCTTGTTGTTTTGTTGATGGTTTATTTTGCTGTGCAGAAGCTTTTTATTTTGATGTAGTCGCATTTGTTTATTTTCTCTTTAGTTTCCAATGCCCTAAGAGCTGTATCGGTGAAGAAATTGCTTCCGCATATGTTTGAGATTTTGTTGCCTTTGGATTCTTCTAGTATTTGTATGGTTTCCCGTCGTATATTTAAGTCCTTTATCCATTTTGAGTTTATATTTGTGTATGGTGTAAGTTGGTGGTCTAGTTTCATTTTCTTGCATGTATCTGTCCAATTTTCCCAACACCGTTTATTGAAGAGACTATTTTGACTCCATTGTATGTTCTTGCCTCCTTTGTCAAATATTAATTGAGCGTATTGGTTGGGGCTGATTTCTGGGCTCTCTATTCTATTCCATTGATTTATATGTCTGTTCTTGTGCCAGTACCAGGCAGTTTTGAGAACAGTGGCTTTGTAATACTGCTTGATATCTGGTATTGAGATCCCACCTACTTTGTTCTTTCTCAGGATCGCTGCAGCTATTTGGGGTCGTTTTTTATTCCAGATGAATTTTTGGAGAGTACGTTCTAGGTCTGTGAAATATGCCATTGGTATTTTAATGGGAAGTGCATTGAATTTATAGATTGCTTTGGGTAGTATGGACATTTTAATGATGTTGATTCTACCAATCCAAGAACATGGTATGTTCTTCCATCTCTTTATGTCTTCCTCTATCTCTTTTTTCAACGTCCTGTAGTTTTCTGAGAAGAGGTCTTTTACCTCTTTAATTAGGTTTATTCCTAGGTAGCTTAATTTTTTTGGTGCGATGGTAAATGGGATTGCTTTTTTAGTCTCTCTTTCTGCACATTCACTATTGGTGAATAGAAATGCCATAGATTTCTTGGCATTAATTTTGTATCCTGCTACATTGCCGAATTCTTTTATTAAGTCTAATAGTTTATTGATGGAGTCTTTAGGGTTTTTTAAGTATAATATCATGTCATCTGCAAATAAGGACAGTTTTACTTCTTCTTTTCCAATTTGGATGCCTTTTATTTCTTCTTCTTGTCTAATTGCAATGGCTAATACTTCCAGTACTATGTCGAACAGGAGTGATGAGAGTGGGCATCCCTGTCTTGTTCCTGTTCTTAGGGGAAATGGTGTTAGTTTTTGTCCATTGAGTATGATGTTGGCTGTGGGTTTGTCATATATGGCTTTTATTATGTTGAGGTATGATCCTTCAATTCCCACCTTGCTGAGAGTTTTTATCAAAAATGGGTGTTGAATTTTGTCAAATGCTTTTTCTGCATCAATTGATATGACTATGTGGTTTTTTTCTTTCAATTTGTTTATGTGATATATCAGTTTATTGATTTGCGGATATTGTACCATCCTTGCATCCCTGGGATATATCCTACTTGGTCGTGGTGTATGATCTTTCTGATATACTGCTGGATCTGATTTGCTAAGATTTTTGTTGAGGATTTTGGCATCTATGTTCATGAGGGATATTGGCCTGTAATTCTCTTTCATTGTGTTGTCTTTACCTGGTTTTGGTATTAGGGTGATGCTGGCTTCATAGAATGAGCTTGGAGGTGTTCCTTCCTCTTGGATTTTTTGTAGTAGTCTGATTAGGATAGGTTTTAGTTCTTCCTTGAATGTTTGGTAAAACTCCCCTGTGAAGCCATCTGGTCCTGGGCTTTTGTTTGCTGGAAGCTTTTTGATGACTGCTTCAATTTCTTCCATAGTTATTAGCCTATTGAGATTTTTACATTCTTCCTGATTAAGTTTTGGATTGTTGTATTTTTCTAGGAATATGTCCATTTCCTCCAGGTTGTCTAGTTTGTTGGAGTAGAGTTGTCCATAGTATTTATTAACAATCATTTGTATTTCTGTGGGATCTGTTCTTATTTCGCCTCTATCATTTCTGATTTTGTTGATTTGGGTCCTTTCTCTTTGCTTCTTGGTGAGCCTGGCTAGAGGTTTGTCAATCTTGTTTATCCTTTCAAAGAACCAGCTCTTGGTTTCATTGATTTTCTGTATTTTTTTTTGGTCTCTATGTCATTTATTTCTGCTCTAATCTTTATTATCTCCTTCCTTCTGCTCACTCTGGGCTTTTCTTATTGCTCTCTTTCTAATTCTTTGAGCTGTAGAGTTAGATGATTTACTACCATTTTTTCTTGTTTGTTGAGATAGGCCTGTAGAGCTATAAACTTCCCTCTCAGGACTGCTTTCATTGCGTCCCAAAGGTTTTGGATTGTTGTGTTTTAATTGTCATTAGTTTCCAGGATGTTTTTAATTTCTTCTTTGATCTCATTGGTTACCCAATCAATATTTAATAACATGCTATTCAGCTTCCAAGTGTTTGAGTATTTTGAGTTGTTTTTGTTGTAGTTTATTTCTAATATTATGGCCTTGTGGTCTGAGAAGATGGTTGGTATGATTTCAATCTCCTTGAATTTGGGGAGACTTTGTGACCCAATATGTGGTCTATTTTTGAAGATGTCCCATGAGCATCTGAGAAGAACGTATATTTTGTGGCTTTGGGGTGAAGTGTTCTGAAGATGTCAATTAAGTACATCTGATCTAGTGAGTCATTTAGGATTGCTGTTTCTTTGCTGAGTTTTTGTCTAGCTGATTTATCCAGTGATGTCAGTGGTGTATTAAAGTCCCCTACTATGATTGTATTGTT